CGATCGACCTGCTTCTTAGAGCAACTCTACCGTGCTCTTTAGTCCGATGGACCGGCCATTCCACCAACCCAATAGCCAGAGCTACAAGCTCCAGCCCATGCAAGGCGTGTGGATGAAAAGGGGCCCGAGGGAGAGGCTCGGTAGGAATCGCTGGCCTGAGAGCCCGAGGTGGAGATGATGCAAGGTTGACGTCAGGGTGACGTCAGCCATGCTATTAAGGCACCCACTGGCCTTGGCGCCACCACTTTCGATCTTCTCACCGACGTTGGCGTCTCTCCATCTCCTCTTTCTTTGTCTCCATTTGCTTCTCCATCCTCCTCTATTTTGTCTCAAACAATCGCTCTCTCTCCAACTGAAATCGACGACACCAACTCTGATTCAAAGGCCTGTAAGATTTCGACCACCCGTGCGGTGGATCTGGTGAGAGATGGAGAAACAAACAGGAGAGACAAAAAAGGAGGACGAGGAGAGAGAATGGAGGACAAACGGAGATTGGAATTAAAAATGGCGCCGGCAACGGAATATTGGCCAGAATCAGTGCAGACTCCGAGTAGGTGGTTGTGAATGGGTGCGGAATCAGTGTATTCTTACCAACGATGATTTACCTTATCTGAAATTACAAATAAAATTATTTTGTATTATTTTATAATAAAAAATACAAATATTTTATTGCCTATTGCTAGGGCTATTCAGTGTAGGGGTGGATATGCAAAAGTCAATTACTGTTCATTAAAGACAGTTACTATTCACTGGATGGATTCAATAGTGAATAGCCCTAGGGGGCCTTTGCAACGCTGAAGTTGCTCTTATTGGCTTGGCTTTGCAACTGTCCTGGGCGAGGCAAACACCAACCTCACAACAGCATTGAAATATGTCGCGTATATATGATATTCTTTCTATACAATTTTCAGTTTCCTACTAGACGTGCTCATTGGATTGATGTGAGAACCAAGATTGGGTTTTCGTTACCAAATAGAATCTCTTCACAATATTATCCTCGAAGGCGATAAAGAAAATGCAACACTTGCAACGTACATAGCACAATTACTTTTTAGTAATCACGTACATAACGCAAGCTTTTAGTTATTGATGCATTGTTGGCGATCGTTATAAGCAGTCGATGTACACATTTTAACTGATGTAGCTAACCACTAATAATGTGAATCCTAGGATGAGGTGGGTCAGATATCCCTGCCGCCGCATTTCTGTCATATATTCTTTGTATTTGGATTTTGATCGTTTGATGTGACAATAAGCTTTTGAATTTTCTTTTTCTTTTGCTTTTGGGTTTTCACTTTCTTGGCTTGAGAATCGTGAATTCGTGTTTGAGTAATGCCAATGTTACAAAAAGCATTAAATCTAAAGAACGGTCATCACCAATAAATCCCGATAGTCCGTGTCACAAAACGAGGCCCCATTAGTCACCTAAGTATGCTAAATTATATGACACCATTCTGACCATGTACGGACGACATACAAAGCAATGGCATGGGTTTTTGAGGTATTGTGCCGATGATACATTAACGTATGGAAAAACACTAAATTAATATTGCATTCGTAACATGTAAATTCTTCTCCGCTAAACATAATTTTACTCTCAAACAGTAGAATAACTTTTTTTTTTTTTTTTTTTTTTTACCAATAACAACACCCTTTTATAAAATACGTGTATGGTGGACTATGCATGTAATTAATTAGCAACATATCCCTAATTATAAACAAGATCAATTAATGGAAACACAGTTAGTGTTGCATTTAACTTGAACGGATGTTGGAATGCAAAACAGACAAATGAAAACAGGATCCAGACATACAAACCATCTACTGCCGATGATACAATAAGGTACGTAACCATCTGCATCATAAACCACCTAACAAACCATCTACTGCAACATAAACCACTTAACAAACGTATATGGCTATGTGATAGTGCGATGTGAGAGAGACTACTCACAGACGCCATCGCCGGCGCCAAAACTGAAGAGCAAGCCATCTATCCCTGATCATCGCCAGTTTGTCACCAATGACCAACCGCCACGCTTATCCTTAAGTGAAGCCAACGCTACGTTGACAAGCATGCACTTCTTATTTATGCAGGCAGGGCGTCACGGCATGGCCTTCAGCATTTTATTATGTTTCCCAATGTTTATGTATATATATGTGTGCGCTTGTCCAATTTGTTTAGCATGCTTAAGACGATAATTATCTAAGATGTAGGTATGATCTATATTAATGTATTGCTAAACAAGATTAACTAACGTTATTATACATTATCGTACCTACTTCCAGGTGTCGAAATTTATCCACATGTTGGTTGATGTTTGCGTCACTAAATTCAACTGGCCGGCAAACGTATTGCTACCAAACCATTTGTAAGCATGGAAGTGGAACAAAAATAAAATAAAATAAAATAACACAACTGGATATATCATATATACTAGCGTGAGTCTGTGACAGTGCAATTTGCCAATAATATACTTGAAAAATAGTTAGCAACCTATTAAAAATAAAGAGGAAGAAGAAAACCAGACGAAAAGACTGCTGGAGGGTTTCGCAGCTGCTGCCTTCAGCTACTTGTCACTGCTAACACATTATAATCTAATCTAAGTTAAGTTTTCCGTTTTTTTTTTAAGAGGATGCAGAAAACAATTTGGGGTCAACTTAGTTGGCAAACACTAAACTGGTTATATATATATATATATATATATATATGCGACAATATTAATTTTGAGAAGCCTATTAATTGTTAGGGTAAATTATATTTTACACCTTCAAGTTTGGGCGCCATTATAAGCTTGCCTGCCAATTGAATTAACGGAACTATTGTCAAAATAAGGTCCTGCTCTCTTAAGGTCCTCATTTTGAGGATTTGTAAGGACCAAATGCATATTAGCTATAAAATTATATTAGTTTAGACCCAAAATCTTAAAATATTTTAAACTTAATAAAGCAAAACCAACTTAAAATTCATGAACCATTAGAAAACTCATTTTCTTGTTTTGCTATATTAAGTTGTCAAATATCTTAAGCCTTCATATATAAACTAATACAATATTGAATCTAATATGCATTTGGTCATCACGAATCTTCAAAATGAGGACCTTAAGAGAGCAGGACTTTGGAAACCAAACCTAGGCAACCTGCTTCTAAGCATAAAAGAACACTAGTAGACCGTAGTGCCAACAAGGACATTCATAAATTAAAATAATAATGAAAATGTATAATTAACTCAACAAATAGAGGATTGAGTTTTCGTCATTGATCATATATGTTAGAAGGGGAGGAGTAGAATCTCAACTTTAATAAGAAACCATTTTGGCCAGCAGGTTTTGAACCCCGAATGGCATGCAATGTAAGAGCCCCTCTGTAATGTCGAATTGTGCTTCCAATAACTGGGATTTTAAAGGGTTTTGGGAGGATGCACCTGACCGTTAATGAAAAGTTGGATTATGCAATCTTAAATTAAAATAAAAGGACATGAGATAATTAATCATTACGATTGAAAGACTTACTTAAAATAAGAGAGTTAAGCAAGAGAAAGATGCATCTTGTACTGAATTCTCGTGACACTTTGAAAATAATAATGCATCGTATCCTAACTCACTCAGGACCAATATGCAAATTCATGCATCATCCAATTTCCTCTCCAACTTAATGGTTGAATCTGCGTTTTTTAACTTGGTTTGACTTTACAATATCAAAAATGACTCCAAGCCAACAAAGCTCTCTGTTTTGCAAGAGTCATTGGGAGGTGAGAGAGAGGAACGTCTATCGTACGAACCATTACCCTTATTTTGTAAAGAGGCTATCCCAAAACCGGTACACTCTTCAGTCACAAAGGAACAACATTTCAGTTGCACCAAACTCACCCTACATTGACTTTACAATATGAGTGTATAAATATATAAATATATGTATATACGTACTAGAAACTCGAGTACACATGACTTGTGGGTTTGAAAAAGGGTATTGGTTGAATGGGATACCTTAACCGTTGAACATGACAGAGAAATTGATGTGTGAAAGAGAGAACTAAAAAGCATTAAGAGGGCAATTGGTGTTGCTTTATGGTGTTTGTTTGGTGACCTAGCATAGGGTTTTCCCGTGGAATCATTATAGGTCGAGTTATCTAGACCACAAGCCACTTATAAATGTTTTAGGCTCAATCATTTCAGATAATGCTTATACCTTATGTATTAAACGCAGTTATTGGCACGCATTTCCATCTGTTTATTGTCTCATTTGAGTTTCGTATGTTTAATTTCTACGATCTTTATTTTCAGAATTGGTCTAATCCTTGATGGTTCTACGAAGTATAGAGTTACTCGGTTGTTATTTCTGTGATATTATAATTGCTTCCTCTTCAAAAAAAATAAATTCACCGCCCGTAAGTCTTCTAGCTCTACAGGACATTGTTCGTTAGGAGTATTTTTCCCATCGTAAAAAAAAATTCATGATCTAAAAGTAAATTTTCTGTTCTTTTGATGCATAGGATGTGTGAATAGTGAGGAGAGAGGGCGTAAATAGAGTTTGGTGAACTGGTTAAAACGTGACACCACTATTTTCATTATATTTATTTATTTTTTAATAAGTAATGCTAGGCAAATTACTTTTTGTAAACTAAATTTTCAAACCATAAAATGTGTCACAACTAAAAAATAAGCATGTATTTTTAATTTTTCAGAAGTATATATATATACGAGTAATGTTATTCATATCATGTTTTTGTATCACATTTTCATACCACCTTAGGTGATATTTGATATAGACAGCCATATCATTTGAATTAATCAAATTTTTAAATTTAGTTCATTATTTAATAAATTAATAATTAAGAAAAATTAGTTAATTAAATTATGGTTATGGTATACGAGGAGTCTTTTTCATTCATTTCCTTGGGTTTTGCAAATTTTTCAAATGATATGGCTGTCCATATTAGATGTCACCTAAAATAGTATTAAATGTGTATAAAAACATAATACGAATAACATTACTCTATATATACAAGAAAATGAGGGATGATGGGAGAGCCAATAAAAACCAGAACGCCGGAAACAAATAAACAAGCGCCGAACAGAGAGAGAGAGACAGAGCAGAGCACGGAGCATGAACCAAAAACTAGGAAACGAGCAGGTCGATGTATATAGTAGTCCAGCATTAGCCAACAGCTCCAGGACAAAAACACCCCATTGCCGTTTCCTTCATTCTCCTCCGTCGCATCGTGTCTCCTCCTCCTCCACCACAACCACCACCACCACCACAAAAGCTGCCGGTTTTTGTTTTTGTTTCGCTCATCATACCTATCGTATTGTACTATCATCCAGCTACCTGTCCTCCCACTCTCTCTCTCTCCTCTCTCCCTCCCCCCCTCTCTCACTCTCTCTCTCTCTCTCTATTCCGTTGGACAGTCCGTATATGTGCGTGCGGTGTGTGCGCAGCTACCTGATCACATATTCCCAGCTCAACAAAATTACCAGCCTGTCCTTCTCTCTTTCATCCTATGACACTCCATCCCGTCCCAACTCACTCCTTCCATTATTCTAATCTCAATTTCAATACGAATTATATCTCCCACCGCTTCCACTTGTTCCCGCAGCTCTACCACCTTTACAACCACCCCACTCCTCCTCTTCACCTCCCCCAAAGGCCCCGCCGCTCGGCCCACATGGCCACCGGGCCCACCTCCGCGGGCCCACGTCCAAAAGACAAGCTCCTCGTCATCATGGGGGCCACCGGCGCCGGCAAGTCCCGCCTCTCCCTCGACCTCGCCACCCGCTTCCCCTTCTTCGAAATCGTCAACTCCGACAAAATGCAACTCTACCGCGGCCTAGACATCACCACCAACAAGCTCCCCCTACCGGAACGACTCGGCGTCTCCCACCACCTCCTCGGCGAGTTCGACCCCCTAGACGGCGACTTCACCCCCGCCGATTTTCGCGCCGTCGCCGGTCAGGTTGTTTCCTGCATTACCAATCGGAGGAAGGTGCCGATGCTCGTCGGCGGGTCAAACTCCTTCATTCACGCGATGGTCGCGGAACGGTTCGAACTGGGCTCCAATGTCTTCGAACCGGGTTTCGACGCCTCCGTCTCGGCCGAGCTCAGATACGATTGCTGTTTTCTTTGGGTGGACGTGTCGATGGCGGTGTTGACGGAGTATTTATCAAAGCGAGTCGACGAAATGCTCGACTCGGGAATGTTCGACGAGTTGGCCAAGTTTTGCGAACCGGATCGCCAGGACAAGCACGACCCAGCTGCGGTTCCGACAGGGTTGAGAAAGGCGATTGGAGTGCCCGAGTTCACCCGGTATTTTAAAAAATACCCACAAAGTAAAAGAGACGAGGACGACGACCTGGAGCGGAGAGGAGCGTACGAAGAGGCGGTGAGGGCGATCAAGGACAACACGTGTCAGCTCGCGAAGAGGCAGATAGGGAAGATCCTACGGTTAAGAGGGGGAGGGTGGGACTTACGAAGACTAGACGCAACGGACGCGTTTAGGGCGGTGGTTGCGACGTCGACGTCGGAAAATGACGGAGGAGAGCGGTGGTCAGAGATATGGGAGAGGCAGGTGGTGGAACCAAGCGCGAAGATTGTGAAGCGCTTCTTGGAGGAGTAGGTCTTCCAGCTTTTTCCAGCTATACATTTCCTTTTTTTTCTTTTTTCTTTTTTTAAATTCTCCTCCAAATGTTGAGTTCGTTAACAATTTTGGGGAAAATTCTTCTGTGCCTCTGCTTCCCAATTCCTGTATGCACCGGAGAAAAAAAATGGAAAAATCGAAGGGTGGGAGTGGACTCGGAAGACCGAGACCAGAATGCGACAAGTTTTGGATTTTGGGAGGGAAATGCAAAAAACACGAAATACAGGAAATTGAGAGGGAAAAAAAGAAAAAGAAAAAATTATTTTGGCAAGTGAGCAAAAGAGTTTTGTGAAATTTTCGCAACTTAAATAGGGAAATTCTGTGAATTTTATTCTCTCAAATGTAATTGAGCAGGGACTCTTTTAATCACAAATTTAGTGTGTTAGCAATGAGCAAATCACTCACTAAACTCTTCTTAGTTCCTTCCTAATACAACATCAGCCTTTATTGTACGGGTGATATTATTTAGATACACAAAATCAAAAATTTTTTAGTACATGTGAGGTCCAAATACAATAGTATTGCCTGTCTTTCTCTAATAAAGAGTATTTATGTAAATTTAGCTTTGCAGTCTACCGCGTGGAAATATTTTTAAGTAAAAGATTATGTATTGTGCTTATATCTCACATCATATCAGAGTCCTTATCCAAGGAGATCTCAATTTTTTTTTATAAATATAGGGACTAGTTGTGGGGTGCACACTACATCGAACTTCAACAATCCGTACCGTTTATTTTTCAAGTATTCATTCATAGATCATCCTTGCAAAAAGTCGGTTCAATCCGTAACTATTTACCCATTTGATTGTCTTGATGAAATTTCAATGTTTGTTAGAAGATAGTGTCCGTCGATTTCTTTGAACTCAATTAGATACCTCAAACATTTTCGATTTAGCTAATATTTTGTAAGGAAGATCTATGAAGTGAAACGGTGAAAAATAGACGGGCCGAATCTTTGAAATTCGATATGAAGTGAGCTCGCCAATTAGTCCCAATTTCTATCGAAAAATGAATATCCCCTTAGATAAAGGGGCTGCACATCACGTAATACTAAAATTGACTTCTTGTAGTATCTGCTGACGATACAAGTGATTTTCCGATCGAAAAAGGGAAGAAAATCTAGTAAAAGTGTGCTTTTATGCGAAATGCCAGATTAGCAAGGGAGTTGGAGATTTGGCAATTTTACTAGATTTTGTTGTAGATCTTGTCAAATGCCAAATTGGTCCGTGATCTTGTTTCTAGATACACTAACTACGTACACACGTTCTTATAAATTAGTCTCCTTCGACCTTCTGTGTTTATTCTTTGATGATATATGTTATCATAATTATATGCTTATCAGCTGATCAAATTCAGGGTTAATAAATCAGAAATCCATTTTTTAAAACTAAGAAAACTTGCATTTTTCTTATGGACCGTGGATGGGACCACGTAGCTTAAGTCCGACGGAAAGCGTGACATTGATTGTTGCTAAATGAGTTTCTTGTTTAGTCCTCTGTGTTTTAGAAGTTTTCTCTATTTCTACATTTGTTTCTTCCTCACACTCCCCTTTTCGTTTGTTTATGAGGTTTCTTAGCAACAATATGTGACGTAGTCATTTAAATTGTGTAGTAATTAATGAAAGTCACGCTAATTTAACAATAATTAATCAATAACAAGAAAAAATGCAGCTCAATTATTTTGTGTATAATTAAGGATGTGAGTTGTGGCTTGGGAATTCGCGAGGGAATTTTGGAAAAATGTGTAATTTCATGTCCCAAGTAGTCTTAATAATATTAATGTAGAGTTGCTAATATTAGGGATTCTATATGTAGGACATGATATCAAGCGAAGGCTAGGGTGATACTTTATTTCCATTCTCAACCAACAATGCACGTCCTCAAAGTGCTTTTCCTTCAAGCGCTTCTGCTGCATAAAACATAATTGCAGACATCTGATTTGGAGAACGACTTCAGGTCAATTGTAGTTGCAAGATTTAATTGGAATTTGAACCTTCACATGGAGGTCACGACTAGTCAATTTTGTGCCAGCAGAGTTACAAACTACAGAGGAACAAAGGAACATCAATTGAGTTTACCATTTCAAGTGGAATAAAACTGTTCAAATTTCCAAATGATCAGCAGTATTGTTAGAAAGCATGAAACTTGAAACTTCCCACCCTCTCATCCGAAAACGACTTGCCTATATCCGTCAAGATTCCACCACCACCAATCAACAATACAATGTCAAACGTATATTAGTTTGAAATATCATCGTAGTCTCCAAAGAGTGTAGGAAAATTGTCACAATTTTTAGCTACAGATAACAAGGTTATGAATGTTCTGAAGCAATTATAGAACCTTCTGTGATGTGATTTGGTGATGTGAAGTTTCAGAATGAGATTATCCATTTGAGGTCGTTATCCAAATTAAGGCTTCAAAATGTTTTCCCTGGAATTCCCAGATTATGTGACTTCGATTTGGCATGACATAGATTCGTGGGGACCAACTATGTGCACGTACATCCTCAATTGGGTCCGCAACATATTTGGGCTCAGACCAAATTGTTAAATCGATGCATTTTAAGGAATAATTATGTGTTTGGTGCTAATCAAATTTTTTATTAGGAGTGTGCCAATTGTAGTATAATTTTTAGAGGATGCTACTTTATCTTACCCTAATTTGAATTACGGAAATAAAGATTAAAACTCGGATACGATAAGTACACCAATTTTAATTGATATGACTATGCTCACGTATGTTGAATGTGGTAAGTTTTTTTAGGAAGGATTTTTAATAAAGGATGCAAATTGGCTGACAGTGGCATGGGGATATAACAAGTGAAGTGTAGGGCGTGGCATGGCATGGTGGAATGGGACGGTTCTGCCAGCAATGGTGCCACACAAGAGGGGGAGACATTATTTCGAGGTCATCAAATTTTAAATTATTTGAATAATCAACAATTGATGTCAAATGTTAAACATCAAAATGATAGTTAATAGTTTATGTGGCAATTTGATATTTTGTACAATATTTTACTCCACACGATATGTTAAATAATAATATCATTTAATATTTTTTTTTATCTTTTTGTGGAGTTCAATGATTAAGGGAACCAATCAAATATTTCAAAAACATAACAACATTTATTATATATTATATTAATCTATTAAAAAATTATTTAATAAATTTGACATCTGTTGTCAAATTTGATAGCAAAAGGTTTTGCCTTCAAATAACTCAGCGCCATGTAAGAAATTGAAGGCTCAGTTGGAGAGAGTTTGCTGCCATTTTTTACTGTTGTATGCCTACATGATAATTTTGACATCTCCTTTAAGACCAATTACTCATCAATTTTCGAGGTTAAGTTCTCTGAACTGGAACAATATTTAGTTAAGATGCAACTACAATTTATAGAGATAGTTAATTATCGCGAGGATAAATGCTAATGGAACTTTCTCAAAAATCGGACTCTTTATAGACTCTTTGCTACTTCGTGCTTTTGACATGATATTTTATAATATTAACAAAGAAGTTAATGTTAAAATATGAGGCGGCTGAGTTTTTTTTTTTAAGTCATACTTTTGAGATAGTCTTTAACATTCCTGATATGGTGAAATGTGTTAGGGCGCAGCATGTGCAATGCAATGCGCATAAAATAGCACGTACAAATGGAAAATTGAGAAAATTAGTAATTTAATAAGGGGACCATGAATTATGAGTTCTAGCTAGCTGATCATCTCGTAACTAACACAAACAAACATGCGTGTACATATCCATTATTATTACACATTGCTGAGTATGTTTGTTTTGTTGTGTTACTCAAGAATCAACGAAATTACAAAACAAACAATATTATATAATGTAATTTATATATATAGAGGTTTGATCCACCAAGACCTAGCTATGCATGGAGGGAAATGGATTGTCAAAAACATGGCTCGCATTCGCATTTGCATTTGCCGCCATAAAAACTTTCATGTACACATGTAATGTCATGCTAACAGGATTCAAAAATCAATCACGTATTGTTACGCAAGGAAGTTAAAAAAAATACAATTGGCATTCTAGGTGTATGAAAGTTGTTCTAATCATTATGACATGTCTAGGCAGTTGAGATAGAAAGAGAACAGATAATTAAGTTGGGAAGTGGGTTTGCTCATATTGTGGCGCTTGAAAATTGAAATTTACATGTTGGAGGAGCTAGCAATGGTTGAACGTGGTGACTTGCTGGTTTTAGTGAAGCTGTCCCAGTGTGAATATTGCTTGAAAAATACAAAATAAAAACACACAAATAAAGAACCAATAAATCAATGGCAGAAGAAAGGGAATGCCTAAAACGGTGAACGGGAGATCCAAGGACGAGTGATCGAAAGAGTGAAAGACAAAAGCATCGAGAAGTGAGTGATCAGTCAGGCAGTCAGCTAATGTTCTGAAACATATTTTTATTTATAATGTATAAAATATGCGTGTGTGTGTGTGTGTGTGATCAGTAGAGAGAAGCATGATGGTTTTATTGCAAAAACCAAGAAGAAGAAGAAGGAAGAGAGAGGCCTTCTCTCCTCCCCTCTTCAACTGCAACTGCTTAATTCTGCTACCACTTTCTGATGATATACACAATATAGAGACTGGAGACGAATGGCAGAGAAATGCAGTGCGCGTGCGATTGCTTTGCGCATGATCCTATAACTAAGAACTAAAAACCCTAATAAAATAACAACAACTATATAATTTTTAATTTACCAAACAAATTGATATTTAAATATCATGTATTTTAATGCAATATTATTCTCGACTTGTGGTAATATTATTAGTCATTGTTTGAGCAGCACTTCATAGAAGAGTTACTGGGTGCTGCTCTGACCCCCTTTGCGTTTTCCAAGCACGATGACAGCCATGTGGACATGGGGTTTGCAATGGTGAGGAGTCACACCATTTTACTGCTCCATTAGCCCATCTAGAAGCTCATCTATTTTGACTGTTTTTGGTCCACCTTCTGAGTTTCTTTTCTTTTCCCTTAGGAAGATAATACGTGACTTCGAGTGTATACCGCTATTAGGAATGCATATATAAACATATATGGGAGCTGACTTTATAATTCTTTTTAGCTTCTCACACATTTCTTTTCATTTCTAATCATGAAATTAAATAAATTAAATAAAAATAATAAACACGATTCTACAAGAGTGTGTAGGATAAAAAAAAAAGATGGTATGTATTGAGAATGAATCTCACAGTGATGAGAGAAGAGACTTTCATGTGCTTATAAGTATTTGAGTTACTCTTCATATTACCAATTGATTTTATGATAAATTCCCAATTTTATTCATGGTATTCAAACAGGTTTTCTCATGTGGGAAGTCTAACGGCCACACGTGCTACACGTTACATGAGTTGTATTATTCACGTGTTAGTCTTGAAAATTACCACACACGAAGAGGCGTCTTGAGAATGAATCTCACATTGATGAGAGGAAAGACCTTGCATGTAAGAGATTTTTTAGTGTGATCGGAACACGGGGTGTTACACCACGTGTTACTATACAAATGGTGAGATATGTGTATTAAAAAGTTAATAGTTTAAAAAATAAAACTTTCCATCACTTATATCAAAACATGTGGTGTACTACCCGTGTTCCGATTACAAGAAAAAATTTCTCCTTGCATGTGCTTATATAGTTATATAGATAAGATACTCCTCATTGCCAACTTTATTCAACGTATGCCATTTTTCGTATGATATATCAAATACTGATCTTTTCTTTGTCGTACAATACAGACCCTGGGCATTGGACAGAAAATGGGCCGAATGCCCCAATCTGATAAAAGAGCCCCGGCCTTTTTGTTTACCAAAGAATCGAATCGAGAAAGCCCCTGTAATGCAGTGAAACAAAACATTTCCAAGGCCACAAAGAAAGCGTGATCAATGCTCTAAGCTTAAGCCGATTGATCAAAATACAGCGAGGTATCATGCTTTCGTGAGACGTACTCAAGGCCAGTCTAGAGATTTTTGAGGTTCGGAACGATGTTAAAAAATGTGCTCTCACTTTATATAAGAAAATTATTTATTTTCACACGTAAGACATCGATAAAATTATACTTAGAAAATCACTTCAAACTGAATAATTTAGAAACACAAAAAAACGAATTTATTTTGTATCGTGAGAAAAAAAACAAAAAAACTTCAGGTTTACAAGTAGATAGATATGAGTTTTGTTTTCCATCTGAACTTTTAAAGTATTTTTGTATAAATTGTGAGGTATTTTTTCTTATTTACTAACCTTGTCAATATGAGATTAAAAAAATAATGATGTTTTGAGTATTTAATTGATATGTATAAGTAATAAATGAGTATTAAATTAAAATTTTTGATGACACGTCATATGATTTGCAAATTTAGTCAAGCATTACTCTTTATTGAAGATTAGACTTGAATTGGAACAAATGTTTAAAAATAAATTAACAACCAAACAAAAATTTGAAAAAATTGAAAAGAATAAACATGCACTTAGCATTTCGAACTTAGGACCTCTCGTTAATTTTAAACAACAAAAACCATTGATTCTAATTAAACTTCTTGATTATTTAGCCAAATTTTTTATATTTATACTCTTATGAAAATAAATTTGTAAAAATTGAAAGGTAAAGCACACATGTTGTTTTGAACCCAAGACCTCCTTATTAATTTCAAACAACAAAACCACCAGTTCTAGTTAAACTTCTTTGTCATTGAACCAAATTTTATAAATATATACTCTTATAAAAACATATATAAATATACCACCCGAATAATTTTGGTGCCCCCATTTATTTTGGGCCCCGAACGGTCGTCCTGCCAGCACTGAGCCTGAACCGGGTCTAGACTTAATATATAGATAACATGGTTGGACAACCCTACACACGTTTTCCTCAACATAATAACATACTAACATAGGAGTTGGAAAATCGGGAGATTCGGAAAATTTTTTTTCAAACCTTATAATTTCAGTCCAATAAAGCAAAATATCTGATGATGGTTATTTTTCGTCTCGGTTATAATGAACGATGAAAAATAAACCTATGAAATGTCAGAAGAAGGAAAATTGTTAAGGTTCGAACGCAGCACAACTTGACCTTTGAAACATAGAGACCAAGATTATATGAAGCTCCTGATACAAACATACAGATTTGCAATCGACAGTCCTTTCTCATGGTCAAGAAAACGTTTGCTGCGGATGCCTAGGCTCATGTCTATTAACATTTGTTTCTAAAAAGGAAAGAAGATAAAGAATGGTTTCATTTATCCACTTCTTTTGAATCTTCAATGTTTTCCTTTATTTATTATTTAAACACATATTTATATTTTTAGAAAATAATAAGAAATGTCAGGTAAGTGGAATGATTTAGAAAATAATAAGAAATGTCTGGTAAGTGGAATGATCGTTAATTTTCTTGTGAAGGAATCTCTAGCACTATGGTTTAATGATATTTATCTTCATCTGTAAGTAAAATATTTTAAGTTTGAGTTTTATTATTGTTATGAAAATAAAATAAAAAATTATTGTGAATCGTCTAATAAGTTGTGCAGCACTACAAGAAATGTCTGGTAAGTTGGTAACTCTTTATTGTATCCAAATTTGAATAGTCTAATAAGTTGTGCAGCACCTGAAATCTTAGAAAGCCGTAGTCATCATACCATCTCTTAGATAAACCTGATGAAATATATATCACCTCAATTTTCGTCATGGATTACGATCATGACGATGAAGGACGACAATGGAACAATGTCTTCCTCGGTTGCTGGTTATTGACTGTGTACGCAGTTGTTTGATAATATATTTTTAAGTTATAATTAACAAGGACAACGTGTGAGTTTCCAACTAACTAGTGTTGAGTCACTGGGCCAGAGGCTCACTCCACCCTGGTCCCTTTGCACTGGACCACTACGTAATATTAGACATGTAATTCTTCTTCAATCAAAATATGAAACTCAAAGGGCTCTTATTTTTATAGCCAAAAACACTTTTAATTGCTTTTGATACTTATTTTTATAAGTTCGGTACTTAATTGTGGCTAGCACATGGATTTTTAATAAAAACATTAATTTATAATAAAACACCATTAGCGCATGCGCTTATAAATTTTTAAGAAGCAGCAAAAATGTGCACGTTACAAAGAAGGATGTTTTCCAAAAATGTCACCACACAAAAATTAAGTAGAGCAGTAGAACCGTAGAGGGGTGACCTTGACGGTGCGGCTAGCTAGATTGATCACTGCATGCACGTCAAAAGGGAGACTGAAGGATGGGGAGTTGACGGTCCTTCGATCATTTCTGCAATTACAAGCCAGGCTGAACGAACGAGGATAAATTTTCAATTGATTGACTTTGAAAACGCAGCAGTTCATGAAATATATAGCTGGATTGAATTGTGTCTTTGCCACCATGATAATATACTTGTCAAATGCTATGTTTTGACCAAAGACAAAAAATAAGTTAGTGAACAAGGTAAACTACAAGAATTTGACTTTACTGATCTAGGTCTAGAGAATACGATGATATAACATTGAAGTTTATAAGGAAAAAAAATCGAATAAAAATACTATTCAAATTAGTCAAAGCTCCAAATTCAAGTTCTTGAAAAGTATAAAAAGTCTCAAGATATTTTATTAGAAAGTTTGACTATAGTTTGAGGCTGACAGAGGGGATTTGCCCTTGGCCCCAACTAATAGTCATTCCTCACCGTAAAACTGATTAAAATTTCACTTAATTATCTGCAATTAAAGATCAAGCAGTGAACACCATATGCATATGATGTACACACAGAAAATAAATAAATAACAATAAATCTGTAATTTTGCATATATACTGGTAAATCTAAAGTCTTAAATAGTTAAATTGCCTTCCATTCACTGAACTCAAAAAAGGGAACTTCCCAATATTCACGCCCAACTCTGTTGAGGAAATAAGGTGGGAGCTCAACACAAGTGTCAAGAGCCGCGCAGGCTGTATAACTGAACTTCAAGCTGCTAATAAAACAGTGCTGTTTCCAAAAATAAAAAATAAAACAGTGCTAATAACATGCTTTTTGTTTTATTTTTTACGATACAATATTTAAAACTAATTTAATCTAATAAAAAATATTTGAGGTGACCACTTAGCCTAATCGAGGTGCTCGAGCATTATGTTATAACGTTCAAGTATGTTATACTGACTATCTAATTAGCGTCAGACTCTTAATATATTACAATTTCTCAAATATTATATGTGTGTGTGTGAACACCAAGGAGCGCATGCAGAAGGGCCACAATTAATAAAATAGAAAAAAAGAAGAGAAAAAAAAATAGTTTTGCTTGACCGAGCGGCACCGGCGTTGCGTGTGGCAGCCAACAAATGCGCCCAAGAGGACAACCAAACCTCAAACATAAGGCAAAAGGCAATGGACGAATGGGATACCAGTTTGCCAATATTCTTCCCAATTAATAGTATTATTCTTTTGTATACAACTATGATAAATGTCAACAGTCAGAAATGTTGGCTTGGCTTCCATTCTTTCTTTCATACTCTCCTATATATCACACATCTCTCTCCCTCTAATCAAATTAATGTCATCCTCTCTCTCTCTCTCTCTCTCTCTCTATTTGCTATTCGAAATCTTAATTAGTTTCTTGATTAACTGATCCTTTCATTTTGGAGCTACCTAATTACTATTAAGATTAGTTAGTTAGCTTAATTAGGTAACAGATCATTGAGCATGAACCCTGCAAAGTTCCAGCTGGGTGATAATCGTCAACTACAACATTCATCCATTAGGAGGGGCCAGATGATGATCAACGGAAGCCGTCCCTCCCCGTTGAAGATCAACCGAAGCTCCCATCTCATCCACAAACCTACCAATAACTATCCCCGCATGGCCGCCGCCAACAAGACGGAGAAGCAACACCACCAGCACCAGCAGCAGCGGCAGCCGGTGATCATCTACACCCAATCTCCGAAAATCATCCACGCGCAGGCGCGCGATTTCATGGCCTTGGTCCAAAAGCTCACCGGCCTCTCGCGATCCGATAATACTCACGACGACGTCAACGACCAAAGCCAAGACACTGACACTACTCATGAAGATCATGCAAACGTGAAAGTTTCATCATGTCAAGACGACCATATCGACCATACAGACATTACTAAATCTATTATTAGCCGCAGCCGTGATGGAAACGAGTCGTGTTCGGATCTGACGGATGAGATTAATTGTGGTGGTGGGAATTACGATAATAATAGTATGATTAATAATGTTCAACATCAAGTGGGGAGCTCATCATCTTCCGGATATTCTCCCAATGCCATGTTCAGCAACCCTAGCCCGTATTTTGCAGATATTCCATTGTTTACGCCGACCTCAAATAATTCAGCGGATTTCTTCTGCCCGCCAAGGCCGCTTTACAGATTCTCCGATTCCTCATCGCATGCGTCTCCGAACTTCGGCGGTTCGATATCTCCATCAATGTTCAAGTTCATCAAAGGACTCCCAGAATATTGACTACATGATGAACAACTAATAAGCAACTAGAGGATTATCCAATCGAGCTAGTTAGTTATTTGCTACCACTGTTAATTGATTCTTTATCTGTGTCTTTTATTCAGTTTTTTTGTATGTTGATAGAAAAAGTCCTTTGCTTGTTCATAGCTTAATTCATTCATTAATTCATTCATGGTTCTTGTTTTGTTAATTAGTTTTTACTCCTTAACTTAAATGTGGGTATGGATTTCTGGGATTTTAAATCTCTACATTTAACCTCAATTGGGTTAGGGAATATATTGAGTTACCATTGGCAGCTGGAAACTAAATATATTGACCCTTCTGAAATTTCATAAGGTTTTGGGTACTTAGCATTATCAAACTTTATGACGCATATACGTTGACATGTTATATAATTCTGCACCACTACTGCATTAGAAACAGGAAGCCCTCTGTGCAACTTCCTGTACGCCTCGAGTCTTGACTTGACCACGAACCACATCCACACGAGTAGTCTGGAAAAACATGAATACTGGTTTGACGATGCCACATGTAGCCGGGCTAGTAGCTAATTGAATCTTGTTTTAGTTAAGATCCTGTTTGGACCCAAAATGACATTTTGGGGCGAGGGGATTATGGGCTCGGCCCGTATACAGGACATCAGGTATCTCAAAATATTTTCAAGAAAAACCCAGCCTAGTGAGGTTTGGTCGAATCCTATCAAAACACAATCTTATCTAAATAGAAGGGTCGGTCGAGTCCTAGTAGAACAAGGAGTCCTCAAAGGCTAGTTATGCTTCGACTAAGGGTTAAACATGGACGATAATAGGGTGGAATTCAGAATCTTACATGAACTAGGGTTGGCCGAAACCTATTTGGATTCGACCAAGGAATTATAGTTCGAGTGGGACTCTAAATCGACCATGCGGAACTACTACTATCAATAGAGAGGGGAGGGTATCATTCAAAGCCCCTCCAAATCAACACACAAATCTGCGTTGCGCAAACTCTCACTCTACGCGAAACCTCTCAAACATCTTTAGATTTTTTATTTTACCCTTGTTCACCAACACATCTTCAATTTGGATAAACAACATTAGAGTCGTAGAATCAGCCAACCGATGATCACCTTCAATTTGGATAAACAACACTACTTCGAGACCAACTGCTTATTTATCTAAGCCTCAATCAGCAGGAATCTCTAAGTCCTTGTTGGAAGAGATCATCTCCTTGGCCTTCTCAACGAAGTGAGGTGTTACTAAGTTACCACATTTGGCACACTGAAAACTGAATTTGATAGTAAACTTCGCAGAACTAACAACGTTGTCTTCAGGTTCTAGAACTCGAAGGCCAAGAAGTATTCCTTCCTCGACCGCCGTCGCAAATTTCAGAAGTCATCAGTACGCTCAATGCCACATCAACATTCATTCACTCTCCAGCTAAGCTCAGCCGACGAATTGGCATGCCCTGCATTCAACCGAATGACATAGGCTAGGCATTTTTAGGGTCAACAGATCCACATGGTTTACATTGAATTTTGGGATTAATAATATGATTTACCACGTGTGTGGTTTACATTGAAATTTGGGATTAATAATATGATTTACAACGTGTGTGGTTTACAAAATTAACCTTCAATTACTGTTTGTTTTTATTAATTTTTTTTATTAGATGCGTACCGACTTGTAGAGATCTATAACTAGTAACCATATGCGATCAAAATGGCCGCGGAAACAATTAGGGAAGCGCATCCACTTTCGTTCACGACGGAGCATAAATAAGATAGAATGTGCAGAAGAACAGAAAAAGTGGGAAAATCATTTTTTAACCATTAAACATAGGCACAAAATTGGGCGATATACAAATGGTGCTTTATTGTAGTGACGAAAAACAATACCACATATACATCTTGGTACGAGTTCAATCTCTATCGATGATTCATAGGATGCGAGTTCGATCTCCACCGATCCTATTTCTTGCCTAACATTTAATAATTTAAAGTGCTAACGTTATCATTTGTCAAAAAAAAAATAGGGGTTACAATGTCTTCAGATCATCCTAGGCGCACCAAATATCCATTTTGAGTTAAAAGACAGACATGTGCTCCAAAATGGTTTGAGAAAAAGTCCGATCAACAAAAAATGTTACTATGGTCCGTGGGTTTGCATGGGTTAGGCCCAAAGCTAAACAGCAATCACACATTTGACTCAAACCGTCGGGAGCCCCCTTTGACAACGCCTACGACATATTCTGGTACTAAAATAATCTGTGGGATTCCGGGAAACGACGTGCGTTTTCGTGGGAAGAAAATATAAAAATGGTCACGTAACTAGTTAGTTGTGCCCTGCAAGTTACCTTTGTGTTAATCATGGACCAAGTCTAGCATAAGATAAGCATGCGAAATCTGGACCTATCTGTCATTAGAAAATTAAACTTCCTGCTAAATGTGGAAATTTCAAAAAAACGTAGGATGTTCAGGTTGTATTTCTCTTATCCATAAGGCGGATTATATAAAAATAATACAAGAGTGCCATACAAGCTGCATTGAAGCTTCTTCTCTACAAACTCGTAGGAAGTGTGAAGAATAAGAAGCTAGATCTAGCCACTCTAACACTTCCAAGTTATATATATGTACTCGTATGTATATATATGGGTGATTGAGTAGTCCCGATTATGTTTCATTTTTTTGGAGGCAAACGGTTTATTGCTTAACCATAACATCTAAAAGATATGGATCTTTTTCTATCTATATAAATTTGTTGCCCCTCTCAGGATTCTCATGCTCCAGAAAGCTAGATAATGTGATGTTGATTAAAGGGAGAGCACAACATGTTATGTGAATTGTAGCATGATGTTGAACCCATTGCATTAGTGGCGTTGCTATCTACTTTTATGAACCATGCTTCGCTGCTGAAACTTAATCACAAATAGACAAGCGTCTAATTATAGTTTTCAATTTTAATTATTCAGACACATGTTCATTTGTGATTTAACTTTTCATCGGCAAAGTAAGGTTCTACTTTTATGAGGCATGCCGCATGAACAATTGTACTTTCAAACAATGGCATCGCAGATTACATCCATCTTTCTGTTTTTTTTTTCACAAGCATACACAATTTATTTGGTTGGTGAGATTCTTTCCGGCCACATTCAACATTGAAGTTGTATAATACACAATTTATCTTTTATATTTGTTTAACAATTAACAACCAAAACACACGGCAAAGAAGAAGATTATCAACTCAACTGTCAAGCCTTCGTCACCAAGAATTTAGGTTCTTTTCGGATCTCACAGTTCTAAGCTGATGATAAAGTAATCTAAACTGTTGAAGATAGGAAGAGAGAGATATGTACAATTGATTTGTATAGTGAATGAGTGAACGGATTAATGAGACCATACAATTAAAAATGAGTGATCCGAATTTTTCTTTATTGGCTTCAAACTGCGAGATCCAAAAATGATCTCGATTCCATAACCAGAGGAAGCTAGTATGAAGCTTGTAATTTGCCATTTTTCTGTTGATTACAAGCTAAAGAAAACCAAATTGAAGGGTAAAAAAAATGGTAAATCCAGGTAAATAATATTAAAGGATATTTACAAAATAATGACCTTGCATTATTTTCTGTTGTTTCGTACTAATGATTTACAGCAGATAAGACCTAACCGCGCTACAACACCGTATCACGGCCGAGTCACATGCACTCATGGCTGATTCGTCCGTCACAACAACGGCGTCGGCGTCCCACCACGTATCGTCCACGTCAGCCTCCGTTACACTCCCTAACGGCGACGCCACTTTCCTCACGTCACCGACCGTCAAATTGCCGGTTACGCCATCCTTGACGTAGACTTTCTCCACGCCACCAGATGCCACTCCAACTATTCTTCCGATCTGCGGGCCCCACTCGGCGAGTATCGCTGGAATCCGGCATCCGACGCGCGCGTCCCAGACACCCATAGACACGAGCCCCGACGGGGCTGAGTCCGCGGACAAAAACGTGGCCGGCGACGATGCGTCCCAGAGTTTTACGACGCTATTGCCTGCCGTGAAGTCGGACCACGATAATCGATGTCCTCCGAAGCTTCGGCGGCGGCGGAGTCCAAAATTATGATTCTGCACTACGTCTTCGCCGTAATAACCCGAGCCTTTGACGTGGAATTGTTCATCTCTCCCAATCGAATGACTTTCCTCGTCGAACGATATTTCGGGTTCCAAATCTTCATCGGATAAGGAGGACGCCGAAGAAGCAGAGCAGATATCGTCGTCGTCGCTGACGTCCGAATACTCGCCGTCGTGGAGCTGCTGATTAAGCTGCTGCGGGTCTAATATCCGGAGGCGGCGGAGACTGATGACAAAAATGTTGATTATAGTGATGAGGGTGCCGAAGGAAGCTAGAATTGCGAGGACTAGAGCTCCCCATGTCCAGAAACTGTAAGCTTGAGAGACGTTTTGGATTCCGGGAAACAACAAACTCTGCGAAAGAAAAGATGGGTCCGGCAGCGAGGTCAGGCGGGACGGAAGATCGGAAATTATGTTAAGCACCGGAATTTCCATGGCTGAGAGCGGTGGTGAGAGGAAGAGGACGAAGTAGAAGAAGAAGGGGAGGAGGTTTGAGGAAGGAGGGGCTTTGCGATTATATAGACTCGAAGAAATTACTTGGAAATTTGGAATGAGGGAATACCAGAAATTAAAAAAATGTTTTAGTTGTGAAGACTGATGTAGAACATAACGACTTGGTATGCAAGTTTCAGGGACATCCGTTCCACGTCAGAAAAGCGTAGCGGTCCTTTTGCAATTGTAGTACAACGTGGCTGGAAAATGTTGAATTATGTAAGGAACTACGACTTCTTAATTCACGTATTATAATATATGTAATTAATACATTATAAACACGTCATTCAAATATTATTAAGAGCATATGTGCTTTACTTATGCACATTAGTACGAATTCTCATTCAATAATTTAAAATAAAACCCTAAACTGCAATTAGTATGTTACCACGAAGGATCAATAACTCCCAAACTACAATTTCCAGTCAAGTTTAGACAAATTTAACATAAATCTAATTGTATAAAAGAAAGTTATATAATACAAATAAATCCACCAATTACAACAAGAAAGTATATTACGTATAATCAAATATCAATAAATATTTAAGTTTGAATCTTTGTTTCTATCGTTTGAATTAATTTAATATATATCACTTGCGTATGAATTAAAAATATGATAAAAAGTGAAGTCATGTTAAAAAGGCAAATAGTCACACTAAATAAAGACTTGTCGTGTCAAAAACAAATTGGATCATTCATGGAATTCGGTGTGGCTGACTCATTGGCAGCCAGCCAGGAGGATGTGATCTCCGCTTTTACTTGCAGAGCCGGTCCAAAACCTTTGTTGGTCAGGGACTAGACGGTTCCACACTCGAATATTGACACGTAGTCAAATCTCATTGCTTGGTCATCCTAACGCTTTTTTTGTTGGTATCTATGTATTTTGAGCTGCTTTAGGTAGAAAAATGCCAACTTCGCTCTTAAAAGTATGATTTTTTATTTATTTATAAATTTCCTGTCAATTCATAGGATAACATTAAACATATTATATATTAATTGTGTAAAAAAAAAAAAAAAGATAGCATAAAGTCTATAAAGATTCTTTTTAGCATATTTTTGTCAATAATTATTATTGTGAAATGAGAGTACAAGTGTCACATCTCGGCCCGGGCCCCCACCACAATCCGAGCCCGCTCCACTACCGTAGCACGATATTGTCCGTTTTGGGTCCCGACCACGCCCTCACGGTTTTGTTTATGGGAACTCACACGAGAACTTCCCAATGACTCACCCATCCTGGGAATGCTCTCACACGCTACTTGTTTAACTTCAGAGTTCCCATGGAACTCGAAGTCAGTGAGCTCCCAAAAGGCCTCGTGCTAGGTAGAGATGAGAATATACATATAAGGATCACTTCCCTTGGCGATGTGGGATGTCACAATCCACCCCCCTTAGGGGCCCGACGTCCTCGTCGGCACACCACAGCCAGGGTTAGGCTCTGATACCAAACTGACACACCCCGACCGAAATCAGGGCATGTTGGCAGTCACTCTCTCGTGACGGCCAGCATGCCTTGATTTTGGTCGGAGTGTGTCAACAAGTGCTAATTAAATTAATCATTTAATACTTTATTAACCCGTAATATTTCAGGCCACTTTATAAATTTATATTTAAGGTTTAAACACTTTATTTATTTTAATAGCAAGTGATATAACTAATTTAATTTATACTAAATAAAATTTTGAGTTTGGGTCATAGTAAATTGAAAAGGAAGATTCGGGCAATTCACTATTGACAAACACTTCGTTTTTCAGTTATTCATTCAAATATTATTTTCACAAAATTCGTCCAAATCATATATCATTTAGCTATTTAATCATTATCGTGAAGATTTCATTATACTTCCAGTAACATTGTAGGTGTCTTACTTTTCTTTTTCACGATTAGGTATTCACTCATTATCACCTGAACACTAATGAGAATTAGCGTGATTACAATTAGCATTGGGTTGGGCTTTTTTTTTCTTCTTATTTTAGAGGTGTGCCGGTGTGTGCCCTCTGTTACACGATTTAGTGACTCACCGACCATGATGGAGAAATGTCGGTGCCATTTCTGCACTTTTATAAGAAATTAATCAGACGCACCTCCTTTCTGGTTTTGGTATAATTTCAATCCCAATGTGTTTCGCATGGTGCGCACTTCTCCGCTAATACACAGCGACAGCTACCCTGTCAAATCCAAAACAATCATTACTTAATGTAGAGATTAAGGGCTTTGATTTGAGGCCCAATTAATTAATCAGTGCAAAACGAGGTCGTTGAGTCTGGTTTCTTCTTCAATTTCAATGGTTTACCAAGCAAAAGGTAGGTAGAAGGTATATGCTCCAAATACACACATCATTATGGTCACGATCAATATGATACTATAACGATATCAATGAAGCTTTATTATTGCAGCTCACACATCATGATCACCATCTTGCTCGTTATGTCCTATCCTCATCGTGCGAGTGTGCTTGGTTCGAAGAATCCCTCGATGTAATTATTGATGTTTTGTTGATTGACAGTAGGATTTAGTTTTGCAAGAGTTTTCCTTGTCTATGTAATATGATGTTGCTTTTGAATTGCTATGAATACAATATCACATTGTTGCTTTAAAAAAATAAAAAAAAACGTAGTTTACCAATTTGTATTCCGAATATGGAAAAATCTCTAGTTTTTGTGTAAATGGAAACCAAATCTCAAAGACCACTAATGGGAACTCAACTAGTAACAACAACGAAAATATAAAAATAAAAAGAGACGAACTAAAAGTCAAGTTAAGCCAAGCCAAGCGGGATAAGTCCATAGACCCAATCATCCAAAAAGTCTAAAACTAATTTATGGGGGGGTATGAAGCAATATTTTTTGGGACCCCTTTTTATCTTTTTATATACCTTTTAATTTTCGTTTGTTAGATCAAACAAATTAAAAAATTGCCAAAAAACATAAATTAATATAAAGTGCATAAAAAATAAAAAAGAGTGAATGAATAACACTGGTAAATGAAATCAAATTACTTGGTGAAGCTTCTAATTTTATTTTCAAAACGTATAAAAAGTCAAACCAATCCCTGGTACGTAGAAATAATTAGGAGGTGGCAGCTGATGAAATTGAAAGGCATATAAAATATGTAACGTGAAATGCATTGATTTTAATAAATATATTGTGCCAAACTTTACGCGTACTGGAAGAGAATAATTATGACCATCCCATCCCCACAAAAATATTGACTTTGAGATTAGATTATACAAAGACTATGATCATATTCTGGTCATTTCTTCTCCTTTTTAGTTGTAATTATCAATCATTTTATTATAATTAATTCGGCATAATAAGGTCTAAGTTTGATCCCATCTACACATTATTTTCTATTATTAACAACCCAACGACCAAAAAACAAAATCAAATCAAATCTCAAACTCAACTCGCTTTATGTATTTGAAGATGCATACAAGATATGCGTTGAAAATCTCACATATTTTATGTTCCAACTCGTTTTTTCTTTATTTCTTTCATCACATGATTGAAGAAAGAGTTACCGAAAAAAAAAATGTGTTACATGAAAGTTCTACTTATATTGCCACTAATTTTTTCTCAAATACAAGATGTTCATTGATTAATTAGAAGCAAATCTTCACTTCTACAAACTTTGAATGTTAAAAGAATTTTTTGTACATTCTCTTCGAGATCAAACATAGTATTGAAGTTTCAAGAAAGCCGTATAAGTAAATATATACGCAACAGAAAAGTGGGCTAATCCAACCAATCTTGCTTGCACAATGGAAAGAGCCACCATTTTATCTCTCCATCGAATCATAATGTTTTGATCTACGATTTCAATTCTTCCATGTTCAAGCAATAGTTAGTATATTGTTCAATTGAGCTAACATCCAAAATATGGAAGAAAAAAAATGTTTTCACTACTTTACCGCCCAGTCAATTTTGTTCCACTTAATCTCTGTTTCATGGCCACATATCTTTCTAGCTAAGGAGTGTGAAACATAGCTAATCTTTGCTTTTCAAACTATTGATTTGAATTCAATTTCAGCATATGTTCAATTCAATCTATGAAGTTGGTCCCAGAAGAAAAGGGGATGAAATTTGAGATATGAAAATTTGAAGCTGGACCGAAGGCGATTTCGTCTTCATGTTGAAATCCAACGAAATGGGCCTACGCTGTTGCTGTTGTTGTTTTTGTTTTGCATGGATCGTGTGCTCAAGACCCACAGTTTATTCAAATTTCTACCCAAGTTGAGATGGCCCATCTTAGTTTCTGGGCCTACAGCATTATTTACAAGAAAATGACGTAAAAATATTTTTATAAAAAAAATAGCTTAAGAAGAAAATAATATATTATGGGTGGAGGCAGGAAAATGTTAGGTTAGCCCTTCTCTAGCCGTATGTTTGCCTTAAGACTTATTACTGAACATGCATGATCTTCCACGGTCACATCTCTAACAATTATTATAGTATAAGATGGATTCTAGTATAGTTATGCAGAGATAAATATTCTTAATTATTTGAGCTACAAGTCAGTTGCCATCGAACGACAAACCTCTCGATTTGGCAGCTTGAGCGCCTGAGGAGACATCGACCCTAGCCTCTCCACCTTAGTTGCATATGAAGGATCATGTAATTAACAATTTGACAGAAAACAAGATTAATGAATTCTCCCAATTAATCACAGATCCAAGAATGCATACAGAACGTACGTATGTAGAAGAAAAACTTAGACAATCCAAACGTAAATATTGAAATGTATTTCGAGAGTTCCAAGGAATTTGAGGGAAAAATCTAAAAATACTAATGCATGAATCACCCGCTCAAGAACCTGCATCAACGTTGATGCCAAGTCAAACTGAGAGAAGCTTCAATCCAAGACTTAATGTAAAGATTGAGAGAAAGTACAGGAACTCCGGGATACTTTGGTACATTCTGTTTGCTTGGCTTTCTACGGCACGTACCGTAACCGTTACATTCCCACCTCCATCACCATTTCCCGTTTCATATAATCTCTTCCTTTTTAAAAGTTGCCTTCCTTTTCAAGCACGCAGCCGATTAGTGTGTGAACGCAGAGCCACCATTGTCGTGCTTGTAAAATGTCATCCACATGATTCAATCAGGTGAAAGCCTATCTGCATCCCTGCCAAAAACAAAAGTTAATTTATATGTAAAATGACATCCACATAATTCAATATAAATTTCCTTTCCAATTTGTGTTCTTATTACCAACTCTAAAACCAGAGAAAATCCGTCATTTATTAGCTGCATTCTTCAGAATTCTTGTTTCTTGGGAGGAAAGGGAGGCAATGGAGTGTGGCAGGATCAAGATTGTTATTACCTTGTGCTCGCTGCTCCTTCTTTTTCCTGTGATTCACGGCTGGGGAACTGATGGGCATCTCACAATTTGCAGAATTGCTCAGGTTCTTACCCAACTCTTATTTTTCTCCAATCTCGACTTAACCAAGTTGGCTAGAGTAAAAAAGATGTACCATATTTTGCCTCTGGGTTAAATTTTTAGCAACGGTTCGGGCGTGTTTTTTCTTTTGGGTGATGTGATGGCAGTCTAGGCTGAGCACGGTGGCGGCGGATGCGGTGAAGCAACTGCTTCCTGACTATGCACAGAATGACTTGGGCAGCCTGTGCATATGGCCAGATCATGTCAAGTTTATTTACCACTGGTCATCTGCCCTTCACTATATTAACACTCCTGATGTTTGCAATTACCAGTACAATAGTATGTTCCTTTAAACATGTGATTAGTGTGCACGTATAAATATTAATTCTAATTAATAATGTAATTACTAATGATTAATCTCCAGGGGACTGCAAAGATGAGACTGGAGAGAAGGGGCGTTGTGTTGCGGGGGCAATTAACAATTATACCACTCAGCTTCTCACCTACAGTAGCCATTCTTCTCAACCTAAATGTAAATCCTTTCCTTTTTCTAGATAGAGATGATCATATCAATACATTATCGATGATATATCAGATTCCGTTCCATAGTTGGTCTATACGATTTCGTGACAATATTTTGTTATTTAACTTTGTTTATATTGTGATATCAGATAACCTCACGCAGGCGCTTCTATTTCTTTCCCATTTCATAGGAGACATCCATCAGGTATGGCACAATCTGTATAACCAAACACAAATGATGTGAAGTTACCCTTACGCGTGTTACGCAGCCTCTGCATGTAGGTTTTGGTCCGGACAAGGGAGGCAACACAATTGATGTTCACTGGTACGCAACGAAGCAAAATCTTCATCATGTAAGTCTCATTTGCCAGTTCAAAATTTCCACAAACTACTACTAAACGTAATTAAATTTTCAAATTTTACGGTGCATACAGATATGGGATTCCAACATAATTGATACAGCAGAAGAGAGATTCTACCATTCCAACGTAGAAGAACTAATTGACGCGATTAAACAGAACATTACGGTACCTTACAACATCAACTGCCGTAGAATATTTTCTGAAATGTCTGAATCCTAAAGTCTGTCCTTTGATGCTTAATATTTCTTTGAAAACAGACTGAATGGTCAGATCAAGTTAAGGGTTGGGAGACCTGCAGCCTAAACAAGACAGCGTGCCCCGACGTGTATGTATTATTCGCTTATGTTACAAATTTGACGAGACTTTATGTTTTCGAGCCTTCTGGTTGTGTTAAGTTTCTGTTTGATGATAAGATCAGCAAGGCTCGGCCTGAACGATTCGCTAACCAAGTTTAATTACCGGGGTACTTATTTGCAGATACGCATCTGAAGGCATCGAAGCAGCTTGTGATTGGGCATACAAGGGTGCAGATGAAGGTTCAGTGCTAGAAGGTAAGCATGAATGTTTTGAATTTAGTGGTAGTGTATGCTCGTCTGTTCGTTAAATTGAGGAGAAAAAAAAAAATGAAGAGAATAAATTAAACATTGTTAATTTGCAGACGAATACTTCCTCTCCCGGCTACCAATAGTCCATAGGCGGTTAGCTCAAGGTGGTGTCCGTCTAGCAGCCACTCTCAACCGCATCTTCGGGTGACAGAACACTTGTTCTGCTTGAAGTTAACAAGATTTCCAGAAGCTTATATGCCTCTAAATTTAAATATATTGCACTTGTAGTTATGTTGTTATCTATTGTTCTAGAAATATCTTTGTTTCAAGCACTTGAACAATTACAAACCCTGTATAATATATCTTACTGCTTAATTAGTTTCTTACATCGTTGTTGTTCAATCGATACCAGTGTCATCCAAAACTAAACACAATAGTCAATCGATAGCTGAATCATCCAAAATCTAAACACAATATGTTCCACTCTATTCTTTTGATGTAGAAACATTCACATACTGAATACAAATCATATGTCAAGCAAGAGCTTCAGCTTTTGATTTCTTCACGACGAGGACAGGGCACTTGGCGTACTGAACACAGTAATCGCTGACGCTACCAAGAATTGCCCTGGCTCGGCACATCAAAATCGTCAGACCCCTAAATGAAATGCAGGCGCACACACACAAAAATAGAAAATTTGATGAAATGATACTAACCTTTGGATTTTTCCGAGCCCACGCTCGCCTACAATTAGCAGCTTGATGCCGTGTTTTTTGACAGCATCACATATGGCAGCTTTCGGATCTCCAACTTCTGTGACTGTCTCTGCATTTACCTATGGAAAACAAAATGGTACACTTAAATAAATGTTTCACAGGGGTGGAATATCCCAAAGATGCTATGCATCTGCAAGGACCTCATCAGAGCACCTTGATGGGCTTAATTGCCATATAAAAAATATGGATTTTGTGAAAATTCAAAGTTGAATAATTCATTGTACCTACTACCTAATGCATGTTTAAGAGTTTCTGGAAGGGCTAAAACCGGTTACTAATAACCAAAAGTGATTTCGACAAAGTTTGGTTAACATAAAAGTGCTCGGGTCACAAGCGTTTTTTGGAAAAACACATATTAGGTACTTCTTCAATAAGAACTTTTAAGTAATTCACTAAGAAGTAAGATTTTTAGTAAAATCGCAAGTGCTTTTGCAAAATCAGCTATAGCAAAAACAATAAGCAGGGAATCCAACAAAAGCAGTCTCAAAAGAAGCACTTGTACGAAAAGTATAATTACAAACATAATGTTTTGTGACTGAAGATGAAGAACTGTGGCCTTACCCCACGACTAGCACAGATCTGCTTAGCTTTCTCCAACAGTGCCAACGCAAACTTCCTGTGACTTTCTTGGGAACAGTTAACAAACTCCTGACCTGAATTCCGTAACACGAACAACAAACAACTTGTCAGAAGATTTCAAATCTCCACTTATGTCTAGGGTATCAACCTTAAAAAGAACAAAAGAAAAACCCCATGAAGAAATTCTGAACAACTTAACTGGAAGACGTAGGATAGTACATGCGAGCAGCGCCGAGCGACGCCGAGAAGGTGATGTTGCCGTTGGAGGGAGTCTGAGCCATGAAGATGGTCAAGGGCGAGTCGGTTATGGAGTCTTTGAGGTTGTCGAGAACCCACATGAGAGCGTAATGACTGCTCTCGCTCTCGTCAATGGCCACCATCACCTTCTTCTCGGCTCCTTTTGCAACCGCTTCTCCCATTCTTTCTTCTCCTCTTGGAATCGCCTCTCCCATTCTTTCTTCTCCTCTTGGAATCGCCTCTCCCAAATCTTTTGCTTCGGTTTTTCGTTGGCAAAACCAAGGGCAGTTGTATCTCTATTTATCAGATTTTTGGGATGGATTTTGTCAAAATGGTAGTTGAAGAAACACACTACGGGTTTTCTCAGGTCAAAACTGCCAGTCAAACACCTAGTCCGACCCCACATATTAGGATTTAGATAGGTTTGCTCTGTTTTCATCGCATGAGAATCCTCTAAAAGCATTTAGAAATCCTCCGATCACGTTCGTTCATTATACATCGTACGGTTAGTATTTGTCAGGTACTATTTTTATTTAATTTTAAATAAAAAATTACAATAATTTCTGATCGCACGATGTATGATGAACGAATATGATTAAATAATTCTCAGAATCTTCACAAAGAGAATCGGAGAGGATCCTCATTCATAAATTCGTCAAGTTTACGTTTTACCGGTGCTTCTAATTATGAGAAGGAGAAACACAAAATTCTGAATGTAAAAATAAATGTCCTTAACTAGCGGTATTACAATCAACTTGCTAAACAATAAAACATTTTGATGTAGGTGCGCGAGTTTACTAGAATCTATATTTGAAATGCTAACTTTGTTACATGCAAATCATTGGTACGTTATGTAATTTTAATTCGGATACATACTAAACTACTAATACGTAGTTATGTACCAAATCGTTAGATACATTGTGTAATTCTAATTCATTTTTCATATTGGTACATTTCTATTTAACATGCATACAATTTAAAGTTGAAACACAGATTTTATTGGGTACGTTGGAGAGTGAAAAAAGAGAGGATAAAATTGATGACCCGGAAATTAGGTTCCGAAAATGATTGTAGAGCTGTATTAAATTAACCAATTAATTTTGATTTTTTAAAAAAAAACTTTCTAATAGCTACGATAGAACAATACTTGCCTACTCAAAGATGAGTAATAACTCATTTTCAAAATTTCTCAAAATTGTTTGTTCTCAATTTATAGAACTTCGTGAATAATCAAAACCATTCATATTATAAATCATCCTATAAAGATCACATCCACAAAAAAAATCAATTAAAATTAAGATTAATCATCAAACTGTTTATAACAAATGAATGACATTGGTAAAAGTATTATGAACCGTTTATGTATTTGCTACAATATATTGACTAAACAACCTTAGTTTTAATTTATTTTTTCTAGAGATGATCTTTATTGTGTGATTCATAATATGAACGGTTCTGATATGTAATAATACCATTTGTTCATAAAAAATAAAAATAAAAATACAGGTGAAAGCACCTTAATAATTTTTTTTTTAATATACATTAAATGCTGATATGTAAATAAATAAATTAATGCTTACGTTGACTCAGATTAAAGCACCTTAATTAAAAGCTTGAAAAGCGTAATTAAATATTAAAAAAAGCATAAATATTTAGTCTCAAAAGTTCTAAATTAAGCCACTTAATTTGAATTTCTCCTTGACTAAATTGGCCTCAATTGTGACAAACGTGAAAACTTTCTAGTGGGCCGCCCTACAAAGTCCAATCACTACGTGTCGCATTTCCGGAATTATGAAACGAATTTTTGACGTGCGATGTTTATCTTATCCATGCATTATTTTATTGATTGGGCTACTACCATTTTGGAAAAGACATCATATCCGGATTCTTTGCATCAAATACGGCTAATTATTAAATGAGAGATTATATTCACGTACTTTAAATTAACACTTGATAAAAAAACATTAAAAAATTAAAAAGGTGTGAAGGAAGTAATTTAGGATGTGTAAATAAAATCCCTTCTAAATTCAGGCATTTGAAATTTGATCAAACGACTACAAACATGAGATTTCTTTAAAAATTATAATAACTTTAACCGTTAGATCAAATTTCAATGGTCCAGATTTGAGAATTTGATGGATTTGGTGAAAGAACGTGAGGCATTACTAGTTAACTGTTGGACATGATTAGTTATTGATACATAACACTTTACCGCACTGACACAAAAATAATTACGTTAGTACGCTCCAAGTTCGATCTTTACTGATATTTCTTTTTTCTAATAATTAGTAATTTAACCAACTAACATTATTGTTTGTCAAAAAATATAAACTTTGATATTTCTTTAAGATATTTTTTTAGTGTGTCTGGAATATAAATTAGTATACCACATGTTATTATACAAATAATGAGATACTTATCTTGAAAAATTAACAACTTCAAAAATAAAATTTCACTCTACTTATATAATAAGGAGGTTTAACAAAACACTTCCGGTATTGTTCACTTTTAACAAAAAATCACATTTATACCTTTCCTTGGTACTATTCATTATACCTTTAAAAAAGGGTTTTCATTAAAAATGAAGTTTTTTTAAACTTTTCGTTAGTTTTCTTTACATAATAAAAAAAGAACTTTTCGTTAAAAGGAAAGTTTTTTTTAACTTTTCGTTAGTTTTCTTTATATAATAAAAAAAGAACTTTTCATTAAAAGTAAAGTTTTTTTGAATTTTTCGCTAGTGTTCTTTATATAATAAGATATGATGTGCAACTAGTGTTGCGCACAATGAAAAAGTTCCAGAATGTTGCTTTCAATCAAAGTATAGTCCACAATCAAGATATGAATCATTGATGTTGGCCAACACGTGTCACTTAATCAAACCATAAAATACATGCTTTATTCAATCATGAAGTTTCCTATTATTACATGACTCTAATTTCAACAATTATCAAGCAGCACGCAACATTTTCTTGCGGAAGATGCAAGTTTGGTTTTTGGATATTAACTTGAAGAACAAGAGAACATGTAAGTCTTCAATCCCGTTTCCTCACAACAAGAACAGGACACTTAGCGTTCTGTACGCAGTAATTGCTTACGCTTCCCAAAAAAGCCCTGTCCCAACAGAACATATCAATCAGAAAGCGATTTTCGCACTTCGTTTTAAGCCATCTACACACCAAACTGAATAAGAACGCACATACCTTTGGATACCTCCGCGACCGTGGCTGCCTAACACAAGCAACTGGATGTTGTGTTTCTCTACTGCTTCGCATATCACCACCTTCGGATCGCCTACCTCTGTCACTGTCTCTGCAACAATCTGCACAGTCGAAAACGAGGAATTTTTCGCAAAATCAGATGTAGTTTTAGGAAGGAAAAGAAAGGAACTTTGATTGTATTTGTACCCCATGTTTGGCACAAATTTCTTTAGCACTCTCCAACAAAGCCAGCGCCACCTTCTTGTGGTTTTCAAGCAAAGATGTTACCAACTCAGCAGCTGCACAATGTATAGAGAAAAATCAGAAAACAACGGCTTGATCAAGCATACAATTACAAACCGGTAACTCCAACAAAATAGGTAGTGAGATTAAGATTTAGAGACCCTACGGGCAGCTCCGTAACTGGCAGCATAAGTGGAAGCGAAGTCAATGGGCTGTGCGGTGAACACGACTAGCTGCGAACTCTGGATGGTGTCGCGCAGATTTTCGAGCGCCCAATTGAAGGCGTATAGGCTAAACTCGCTTTCGTCGATCGCCACCATCACCTTCTTCTTCTCCTCATGCTTTCCCTGCTCCTCCATCCTCTCTCTTTCTGTGTCTTTCACTCTCTTTCTTTGCAGACAAGGCAAATCACATTTGCCTGTGCCTGCCTTGATGGTCATTTAAAGTCACGACAGCAGTAATGAGATGACTTGTCATTCCTGCGTGCCTGCTCCTAGCAAGTCCTAACTACGAGTCAAAACTACAAGCACACACGTGGTGTCCTAGTAATCCAACTGCCTTGTTCGGAGGCTCGACCTAGTTGGTCACAATTCCAATCTTGCCCGGTTCTAGTCACCGAATGGGCTCAGATCCCATACTCACAGTTCAGACTCACAGTGGCCCAATGCCTGTAAGGTGTTTGTTATGATTTATGTCGAGCCCGTCAAGATGCTTCAAGACCCACAATGGCCCAATGCCATAATGCGAGCAGCTGAGGAGCCAGCGAGCCCGACCTATTGACAAAGTCATCTCCAATCGAAGGAGAGTCGAATGGCTCCTTTTAGTCCTATAGTTTATAAGAAATTATATTTTAATGAACAGTGTTAAGCATATTTTATACCATTGGTAACCGAGAAGGTCAAGGGACCATAGGCCAAACATGTCGAGATGTAATTGGTTGTGCAAATTTTAGATAGGATTCTTATCTACGTAACACTTCTTATCTTCAGCTTTCAATGTTGTAGGAATGATGTAAGTATTTATAGGAAAAAAAATTAGAATTTTTTTTTTAACTTGTCCAAAAAAAAAAAATTCTAATTTCAACGGTAACCTGACGACATCATGACATTAGCTAGGGCTGAGTTGGAGGGCTGACAAAATGTCAAGCTTGATATTTTGGCGTTAAAGGGTTGGGCTAGAGGGTTGGCTGGAAATGGCCAACCCATTGGCCTGATTTGGGGGTTTGGGCTCGGTGAGACCCATAAGCAATTTGGCCTAGCCATCGGTTGGAGATAATTTTTGTGTCATTCCGAATTATTTTTAACTCTATAACTCTTTGGCCGTGTCGGTTGGAGATGGCCTTATCTCCACTCTAGTTGCACGTACCATGTTAAGGGATACAAACATGCGTATCGATATCGTGGTAGAAAAATAAAATCTTAAAGATATCCAGACGTAATTACTGAAGCATACTCTGAGAGGTGCGAGGAATTTGAACCACAAATCGGACAATGCTCGTGCCTCGCCAATGCAGGCAACTGCATCAGCGCTAATGCCAACCCTTTCCAGAAGTTCATGATAACCTGATCAAATATTGAAGCACAACAACTCAGTTTGTTTAAAAAAATTGTAAAGATTGAAAAAGGAGTTATTAATGACACCGTATTGGTCAAGTTCATAATCCCTGACTTTGAGCTACACATCAAGGAACTCACTCATTCTGCCAAGTCAAAAAAGGCCAAGTCTTTACTCTACATATTAAGAAACCCCTAGAAATTAGGTCCAATGGATAATCATTTTGCTTTTACAATGAAAAATAAAAGCTAAGAACGAAATGGTTATCAAACGAGTCCTTCAAATTCTAAAACTCTGACTGATTTTGGGCACATTGTACAATTTGATCTCACACTCAACGAAACCATTACTAATTAATTTACAATGGTATAACATAGAGAATGCCGACAAATTAAACAAGGAAACTGAACGTTTTTAGGGAGTACCCTTTGAGACCTTTGAAATCGAATGCGAGAGCAGTGCAGCTCCTGACGGTGGGGAGTGATCGGAGAGGTGGCCACTTCGTCGGGAAGGAAACTGACTGATGGCGGAGGTGGAGCGACGTCTGGATGACACGCGAGTAGGAGGGGAGGGTCACGTGGGTGGGGTCAGCAATTGAAAATGCCCGCAGGCCCTGGAACCGGAACATCTCTGCAGCTCCGCTCAATCAAAAGTGCCGGGCAGCGCTTGGAGGAGAGAGAGAGGTCTGGGAGGTTTTGTTTGGATTCTTGGAGCCAAAACCCAAGCAATTTACATCACATTAGAAAGTAATAAAATGTTTTAGTCTGGCATGAAAAAAGTTTTGCGGCCCATTGGTCTATTCTTCTTGAAGTGAATTGGGCCATAGTTGAGATTGGATCCAAATATATGGAACGAATAAAGAATGAATAATAATTTTTAATTTTATTTTGTGTGTGAGTAGTAAGTTTAATTCGTTATTTGTAGAAGTGCTCCACGAATGATATAATCGGGACACTCACACAAGTTTTTTCCACCCACGTCAACTATAACTAGAGTCTAGAGTCCCTGAAACCTGCCCTTTTCGGGAGAGCAACTTACATGGAACGGGTTCACTGTCACGTAACGTCCTGATTTAATGATACATTTTCATGTGGAGAAAAATTTACACATAGTAATTTATTATTGGACAAAGAACGCCACATAATTGTGAACTCGTTCCATGTGAATCATGCACGATCCCAACTATCTATGTTTAGATAAATGTCCCAACAATCCAAGTTTAGGTAATGTCCCTTTGTTTACCTCAGTGGCCAATTAGGGGATTCATAGACAATGGTGTACTTTTCTATACTATACACCAGTCTCAGCTGCCTCTCTTTCAGCACTCAAAACCGCGTTGGGACATCAGTGCCCTTAATCTTAAGGGTAAGCTTAGAAACCCACATATATATCCACACGACAGATGACTCTTTCAAATCAAGTTATATATCAATGAAGCTGTCTTCAAATCATGCATGATCTATATAATTACCACTTTGATCTGTCTCAACCTTTCCTATCTTATTATATTTGGTTCATTTATATGGTACAAGATTCGTTTGCACCCTACACAAATATATAAGCATGAAAAAAGAATATTTTATTGTATATATTATGGGATCCATGGAAGCTAGAGAAGATGGCATTGATCGTCGTCTTGTGCTTCATTGTCTCCACATGTACATGTAGGGCTTAGGAGCATGGGATCTGAAGAAGATTGAGCGTACTCTCACTTCTCAAATAGGCCATGTTGCGTTGTTGTAGTGAGGAAGTCCTCCATACCCTTCTGATCTTACTACCATCTCTTGTACCTCCGGATATGCAGTACTTGTGCCCTGCAACATTCCACATTGCTCGCTTTTATCACTTTCATCTTTTAAAAGCTCATTAACAACCTTAAATATTTGATACGGAAAATGATTTATGCACACTCCTATGTATTTAATTTCATGAATTCTCCTTTGGTTTTTTTTTTTTTTTTTTTTCCGATTAAAAAATAAAAAGTAAATAGGAATGTGCATGAGAAGAAAGAATGAATCTGAAAAACATTTCCGTATATTGATTATAGTCTATACAAATTCATAATTTAATGTGGATACACACACACACGTATATATTTGCGTAAGCGTGTAAATGCATACCTGCTGCTGTTGCATTGCGTCCACAGCATCCACACCTGGTGTATTGAAATCATAATACGCACTTGCTGCAGAAAGTTTCATTGACAGAAACTTGGAAACCACCAATACAAAGCACTTTGTTAATATTCTATTGGACATATATGATCACTGATCCATGATTATGTAAGAAATCTCCATGATATGATATGATTAATTATTTAAGATATGACTCACCTCAATTTGGTTCTGCAGTGACTGAACGTAACTGCAAACCACATCCAGCATTACTGCCATTCCCATTGTCTGCAAATTAATTAAACCATAAAAAAAGAGCAACGACATCAGTAAAATTTTCAAAGGAAAATAATCATTCATTTCTTTCGTAGATGATTCAAATTAAGCGACAAGAAGTTAATCAAATTATGCATACCTTGTAGCAGCCTGGAACCAGATTTTGCAGGCATCTCAGCCTCTCGTTTATTTTCTCTCTTCTTAGCTAATAATACCATGCATGTTAAGCAAATGCGTGAGACCAACATCCCGTCAATATATAATTTCACGTCCGTGTAAACAGTATAGTTATCAGAATATTATGGATTTTAGCTATTTAATTAAGTCAAGATAATTAAGCTAAATGTGCTTCAAAATCTGGCCTTGAAAACTAACAAGAGAATTATTACTGGTAACATAATGCAATTTAAAAAGAAGTGATATATTTATACCCTTTCTGCCAAACTGTGGCTATCAGTAGCTTGGCCTCTCTTAGCTCTCACATGAATTACTTCTTTTAGTTTCTCTCCATCCTTTTCACTATTCTTTCTCTTTCTTCCTCCTAACGACTGCCAAGAATCACCAATCGCGCATTTCAATAACAAAAGAAAACGAATCTCAGAAAATCAATCTAGCCAGAAATTAAGCATACATGCATGATCAATCCCATGGTCAATTGACCAGACGACATATATAAGCTAGCTAGCTCTCCAACAAGCAACTATATAATTTTGTATGCAATAATACGCACGTGCCTTTCCTTTTCCGGTTTCTTGGCGAAAATCTCCATTCATGAGATGAGCTGTGGAACGAGCACCTAAGACGTCGTCATGATTTGGATCATCAGAAATTTGAGAAAAGCTTTGAATGTGTTGAGTGAAGTTGATAGGGAGCTGATGATCATCAGGTTGTGGCTGATGATAATCATCGGTAGTAAGGGAGGTGTCATTGCCCGAGAGAGCCATGATTTCATGATGAATATTGGTGCCAAGACTAGTCTCCAAATCACAGAGATTGTCTATGAGTTCCATCTTCCAAACTTCGAATCGTTTGTCTACACAGAAAATTGCGGTTTTGCATGCCTTTAGAGACAGACCAATCGAGTTTATAGAAACTTCAGTCCAAAAGCAAATTAGCTATACTACAGATTTTCATTTCAGTTATAAGTTGACTTTGTATCCCAACTTCTATATCCTTTTTTTATTCCAAAAAATAAAAGTTTAAATATATCCACGTCCAGTACACGGGACCATACACTGGTGTTTTTTAGCAAGATAAAATTCTAAACTTACTTTAATTTACAAAGAAGAAAATTCAAACTTGATCAGTGAAAATAAAGCAGGTTCATTGTCCTGATGTGTGTGGTATTGTATGTGTGAGGTGAGACCATATAACCGGTTTGGGTTTGAATTATGTAACTTTGGTATTTGATTTGGTGTGATTAGCTTTGTTTGTTTTCAATTTTTGTTCTTGATGGGAACATATATCTTCCCCTTATGGATGATGATGTTACCACAAATGGCATATATAGGGTTTCCACTTCAACTCCATTCAATAAAAGGTTGTAAAACCAAATATAAAGACTGACCTTAATTGGAGTGCTCACAATCTAAAGAGTCATTACAAATGTTGACTCTAAACTTTCTAAATTTGGAGAGCTTCATTTCTTTATCAGAGCACTCGATATTTCAAATCCACGTCGATAACAAGCGATTTTTCAGTGTGTCCGAAACACAAAGTGGAACACCACATGTCTTATACAATTGGAGGAACACTTTGAGGAAAAAAAAAAACTTTCCTCTAATTGTATAATAACAATGTGGTGTTCTACCTTTTGAACACCCTGAAAAATCTCTCATTGGTAACCCATACCGACTCCTTGACAACCCCCCATCCCCCTCGAAATCCCAACTTATAACAATATGTCATGCATATATGCATTCCTTGCTTGTCAAGTTAATTGGCATCTTCTGCCTTTTGATTTTCAACCCTAGCTAGAATAGCATGCTAATTAGATTACAGTTGTACTAAGTATCGTTTAAAAGTCAATCTTCACCAAATAAGCCTTTGATTCTTGACTTAATGTGTATTTTGTAGTGTAGCTAATCTTTGACTTTGAATTAGGATCCATACATTCTATGCCGAACTTTTATTTCTTAAATGGTGGAAGCAGAAGAGGGTTTAGGGTTTAGATATTGAACGATAACTTTGCCATCATATAAGGGTGAAAAATGAGACTGTCAACATCCTCGTCCAAATTATTTTGAAGGTACATCACAAATGGCCTGTTACTGACCTTAACTTGTTTAGACCTTGATTTCATCCAACATATATTCCTTGTATTCTATTGTTGTCAATGTGATTTGGGTCGATTAGTCAGAATAATGTGTTCGTTTTCTTGCATTTAAGTTCAAGTGTGTTAGAATTTTCTTTTGTCGAACAATATAAACCAGTTCGGTGTTGCTATGTATATAAGTAAACTTTTAGTCTTTCTTCTTATACCAGTTCAGCGTTCTTCAATATCATTAGTAACCCAAATCAGTAGGCGGGCAGTGTTTTTGGTGTTCTCCTTTGGTAAAAATTAATGGAGGTCTTTTTTAAGTTCATAACTAATGTCCATATCCGGCTGCACGTATGATGATGTACTAGATTTACGTGAGAATCTTAGTTCATGGAGGAAAGTGATAGGCGAATGCCATATGATTATGGAATGACAAGCCATAAATTTAAAGTTGTATGAAACTTATTTCACTAACAATGACATAATCATGGGATTATACAAGAACCATATCACCTTGTTATTAACTCTTGGTGGCTAAGAGGTTTGCAAGTGGTTTAGAGTATTTACGACTACATCTGAGGTTCTTTGTTCGGTTCTCATTACTCCGATCATATTATGAATATAAATTCATAGGTGCAAAGTAGCTTACAAGTAGTTACAAACATTATCATTATCTTCGAGATTTTATATCTCAGTTACTTGATAATACGGACTAGGGTTGGACTTTCCTAGGCCCAAATGATGTTGATTTTTATTTTTAATTTAATCCACTCTTTCCGGGCCGAACAACACGCAACGGGCCCAAATATTAACTCGGTCCAAACGGCAGGCCGGCTCAACCTCGCAGCAGTTGAAGAATCCGACCAAATTCATAAAATAAAAATACACAAATGACACAGCAAATACCACCAACACCTTTCCTCATTTTTCAACCCTGACCTGGAACAAATATACTATTTATATTTCTAAAATACATAAGTGCTTGCGACATCTGAAATTTAATTAAAATCTTCTCTCTTTTAAGATTTAAGATTAAGATATTGTAATTTACAACATGTTTATTTACTAAAAATAAAAATTAGAATTATTTTAATTTTCTCGGTGTTCACTAAAATATATAAAGCCGAAAAAGCGTAAATAAATCTTGAAATTCATAATCTATAAGTAAAAAATGAGATTAGCTAGAGGGTGGGACGACTAGTTGATTCGATTCCCATTGCTTACTTTCCTTATTCCTAAATTCTCCAATTCTCTATCCCATTGAACTTAGCCTTTACAAATAGGTCGTAAGTGTATCATATGTTCCACTCCATCTATGACTTATGTTTATGCTCTGCGTCAATTGTCACCCTCAACCCACACATTCCAAGTACATTCCACTACTAGTAACACCGAAGCTTTTTTATAAATTGCATGCGGACATGCTAGACTGTCTAATTGTAAAGGAGTTGCGTTGAATTGAGTGATCTGTCTATCTAAAATCTACACAATAGGTGGTTTAACGTCAATAATCACATAATTTGGACAGTACGTCCATAGCACTCTCTCATATTCTCAGCCACATATCCACAGATCCACAGCTCCAGCCTAGGGTACCCCCACCCGAACAAGGGTTACCGCATAAACACGCGTGCCTTGTATCGATATATATCAAGATCAAGTCTATCTCACATGATGAGTTGTTGCTAGTTATCTTTTTACTCCAATCTTTTTTTACATGATTCAGAAATAGATAAGATGACAAGAGCATCTCCTCCCACAATAAAGAGCAATTCAACTAAATTTGGAAAAAAATTATCCTCAAATAATCGATTCTCTCATGTTCTGATATGTGATATCAAATATACCTGGCCTTTGCATCTATTCAAAACTTTAAGCCCCCATATATGGTCCCCCTCTCCTCTCCATTGGCCACCTCCCCCACTTTGAAACCTCCCCATGTCACTTCAGTCTTTCTTCTTCTCACCACTTTTTCTACAATCCAGCTAGTTTCATGTATAAAACAAATCAACGTTTGTGAAAATAGGTCAAATTGGATATGTAATTATTGGAATCATTGTTGGAGACTCAAATGGTGGATATGCAAGAATTATATGCTGGTGAAGGGAGGGCCCCAATTGGTAGGAAAAAAAGAGTTATCCTGCATTTGAAAGAAGAAGTATAAAAATAAAAAAAAATATAGTGATAATTTGATTCTTCATCAAGATTATCACGATGATCAAACGACTTCCAATTTTATTGATGTTTTTGCATAGATATTCTTTAGGTTGTGATTAAAAATTGAACAAATTTGTTTGTGATTCGTGCACAATGAAAATTGTGTAATCACAACCAAGTAGATAATGAGAAGTGCAATGGTGTGCACCTAAGTGTCATTCTTTTATTGTTAGGACAATACTTGTGTTCACACCATGGGCCACATGCGTGTCCACTCAATTGTGCTTTACGTAATTCATGGTAAAAATATCATGATTGAAAACATTTGTCTTCATAATTATCATTCACATATCATCCTTTCAAAATCAGTCAAATTAAAGATGATATTGTTAGTGATATGTATCAAATACATGATTGGTTTAGCATGAGGATGCTAATTGTTACCAAAATTGAGAGTTGTTTGATACATATGAGTGACTTAACAATCTCTAATTAATTTGACTGAGTTTTTACAAAGTTGATCTTTAAATGATGACTAAGAAAGCAAGTGATTTCAGTTTATAATATTTGTTTAATAAAAATACCCTAATTACAATTAAGTGGACTAGAAGGTATGGTTTCACGTATTTTCATTTATTAGTTGGCTAGGCGAGTGATAATTTTTTATCAAAACAAATAGTACCACGTTCAAAAGAACAAACGCATTTTTTGGTGCTTGAATGAGGCATCAGTTATATTCCAACCACACACACACTGTCAATGTCATACAAAGTTGAATACTTTGAATCACGCTTCAATGCAGCCCAACGCAGAAGACGCCATTTTCCACATCTGGTTTTGTATTTTTGCAGTTCTGTATCTGCGTAAATATATTTTGTCCAGTCAATCACGTTTCTTGTATAAGGAGGGGTCGAATCCAGATGGGCAACAAACACAAACGAAACGAAGCTAGCTATCCCCTGAAGAAAAGAAACCCTACTACATTTCACTATCGAGAAGCTCACTAATCTTCTCTTTCTTTAGTTCATACCTAATTATTCAAAGGTTTTTTTAGCCAAAATGGTCCTGAGATTTGCATAACACATTACTTTGGTCCTTAAGATTGAAAATCAATAGAAATAGTTTCTGAAATTATCCACCATCCATTATTTTGGTCATTCCGTTAAAAACTCAGTTAAGTGTCCCGGAACTCTTGACCGGAAGTTTGGACAATTTTCAAAGCTTCGTAACTCAATCGTTTCTTAACCAAATTCGACCCATAATATATCAAAATTAAGATAGTAAAGTATACAACAAGATTAATCTACTTGGAAGCCTAATGGTTGCCAGAGATAGTCGGAAAATAGTCTGAAAGGTGACTGGTCTGCGGGAAAACTGGAAAACTAGCCGGAAACTGGGTAAACTTTCAACATTCATAACTTCTTCAATACTCAACGAAATCGGGTGATTCAAAAACAAAAATCATATTTCTCAACGAGACAAAGAGCATGATACCTTTCTTGATGGCTAATTAGCCGTGGTTTGGCCAGAAAATGGCTCGAAAGTGGCTAACTCGAGACCAAGACAGCCAATTTCGAGCCGTTTTCCGGACAAACCACGGCGAGTTAGCCATCAACCAAAGATACCATTCTATTTGTCTCGTCGAGAAGTATGATTTTCATTTTTGAATCACTTGATTTCATTGAGTATTGAAGAAGTTATGAACGTTTAAAGTTTACCCAATTTCCGGTGAGTTTTTCAATTTTTTCGGCTGACCG